TCAGAAGCTTCAGTTCAGTCCCTATGCTCCAGCTCAGAGTCCCGGGGACTTCACCTCGTGACTTGTTTGCATCTGCCACTGGTACCCTTGCCTGGTCCTCAAAACTAGCACTAATAGGTCTGAATCAAGAGAAGTGCCAGTATAAAAATTCCTCAAAGACAGGTTTAGCAACTCAGAAACCTGCTAATCATATGAACAGCTTTCTGAGGTGTGAAACATGAAAAATGTAGTAACTGGTTTACCCCCTATACCGAATTGGAGAGATTAAACATTGCTGCCTTCCTGTCCAACCCTCCGCGCCCTCTCAGAGCTAACAGGGGAAATGTTTTGTTGGGTTTTTTTAAATGCAGAAATGAGTGTGGTTATTGTAGCCCAAGGTACAGCAGAAGGGATCGGTTTCTTGGAAATGCCACCCCTGAGCCACGGCAGAGCTCTGCTCCACCATGTAGGAAGTGGGGGAAGGTGCAGATAAGGGCAAGTGTTGCACTCAGAAGCAGGTGAAACACCAACCCGACAGAAAGTGTAACAGACTCTCATCTACGATCTGAGCCATGTCACTGTCCCCTGGCTGAAGGCACCGGTGGATTTGGGCAGGAGTGGCAGGAGCACGCCTGCACACACGTGCTCTCAGCTACGGCAATGCCCCAGCCCAGCACATGCTGTGCCACACGGACACTTTGGCAGGGTTACAGAAGTACCCAGGTGAGCTCTTGATTCCTTTTTTTCCATTTTTATTCAGCAAAACTCATGCCTTTAGAGAAAACATAAAAATTTGTTTAATTAGCTTAAGATGTTTAACTGAAAAAGAATGATCCAGAAGATAATGAATTCCAGCTAAATGTAGCCTTCTTGCAGTTGGTGAGCCCTTTTTATAGCTCTGTATATACTGTATCCATCCCTGGCAGCAATCGCAAAACAGGGAATAGAGGAGTTGAAAGCCTCAGGATTGTGCATGCATAATTAGATGAGACATTTCCTTCATGAGGGTAATGTGAAACAGAAGTAACAAAGCAAAACAAGAACAATCTCCTTTGTGCTGCACACAGATTACATCACGATTCATATGAATTCTTTGCACATTATTCCTTCTGTGTCCTGCACTGATCAAGGGTTTTCCCTTCTCAAAAAAGGCTCCTGACAGTTTCATAAAGGGTTAAAGCTTAAAAAGGGGGAGGGGAAAAAAATCCTCGCTAAAAAATCCAGCGGTGCAAATGAAACCGAAAGCCTGGGGACACGCACGATGGCCACAACAGCCCGTCAGCTGGATAAAAAGTTGAAACCCACAGTTAGGAGCATTTTAATAATTGCGTTTAATGCTTCTATTCATCTCAAAGAAAATCCACTGAAAAAAAAACACGTGGAAAGCTAACAGTGAGTTTTAGTAATTTAAGGATACTGAAAAAAAACCCGACAAAACAAACAAACAAACAAACAAAAGAAGACATGCTCCAGGAATACTACGGTATTCTGCAATTCCTTTTGAAGTTTAAAAAAAAAAAAAAAGCACCAAAAATAGCTCTGCTCTTTATCAAGTCACTTCTCAAAATAGCCTGCACTATTAAAAAGAAAAAAAAATAAATGAAATGCAAGCCCACGCCCGGCAGATGAGAGGAAGCGGGGGGAGCCGCTCCCGGCGCAGTGATCCCGATCCCGCTGCCGCTCCCGCGGGAGCGCTGCGCGCGCAGCCCGCGCGCAGCCAATGGCGGCTCGGCCGGCCCAGGGCGGCCTTTGAACCCCCGCACGGCTCCCGCGGCTCCGGCGCGTCCGTCAGTGCGGCACAAAGAACAGCCATTTTGTGACTCCGCTGCTCCCGCACCGCCGCGACAGCGCTGCAGCCCTCCCCGAGCGCTACCCGAACAACAAAGGGGTGCCCTCGGCTCCCAGCGTTAGCCAGGGACGGCAGTTTTTGCTGTACATGTTCATTTCCCTGCTCTCCCCCCCGCGCCAAATGCTGTTTCGTATGTACAGACATCTCCATAAAATGGCTGCCACGTCAGGCAGGGTGTTGTGCTGTGCGAAGGCTGCACAGCCCTGCTCTGGGAGGCGGCTGCTGAGCAAACAAACGCCATTTCAGACCTCAGACCCCTAGCTCTCTGCTCAGAAAATGGGCTGACAGCTACCCCACCACGACCTTTTTTTTCCAAAGAACAAGATGTTTTAATGCTAAAGCAGCTCAGAGCTGGATACAGACACAAAGGCTTGTCCAGCCCTGCAGCTTCTGCAGCAGAAACCAATCCCACATGGGATATTGCAGAGGTGGGAGAGCAACTGCAACAGATGCAGGCCAAGGAAAGGAAAACAACAATGTATCCCCTGCCTGTTACTTGCTATCCCTCCAAAACCACTCCAAAACTCAGCTTCAGGGAGACTCCCGCCTGCCTCTGGCTCTGCAATTCCAGTGAGGGCTGTCCATGGATGTACCTTCACACGACCTGCCTCTCAGAAACACAGCACAGAAGACGCTAGAAGAGACATCAGATTGTGTTCAATTATTTAATGCAAGCCCCAGGCACATAGGTGATGGTCAGCAGGAACTGCAGCAGACCCACAGCAACTTCAACCCCACGTGGGGAAAGTTGCATGAAATCCCTCAGCTCCAAGTTTGGATTTACTGTCAGTGCACAAAGGGCGGTTGTTGCTGTTCATCTGGAAAGGAAGCGAGTACACCCCTCAGCTTACAAACTGCAAAGAGTTAACACCATCTCCCACCCAAGAACAATCATCTGCCTTGGGACACTCCTCAGGTATTTGTTTGTTCAGCCAGGACTTTGCATTTCCTTAGGACTGGAAAGGTGGGAGTCAATTCCAGACATACTCCTCAGTTAGGACACTACAGTGGTGTACAGGAATTCTATTTTCTTCCACTTTAACACCCTTCTCTAGTCCTCCAGTTTTGCTTCTCCAGGTGAATGTCATCTGCCACATCCACCTCCTCACCACCCAGGCCTCCCACCAGGGACTCAGTGACAGGACTTCACCAACTTCCACAGATGCCAATCTGTCTCAGCACATGTGAAGTGCACACACCAGTGCATTTCTGGGTTACAGTACAGCAAAGTGGAGGCTTTACTTCCTAGAAATCATTTCCCCTACAACTTCAGGTCAACCTCAGGAAGTAAAGCCCATTTTATGACATTCAGCTGACTCACAGCTCAGAAATAAGCTCGACAGGGTTCACTTGCATATATCCTGTGTTCAATTGTTCCCACACTTCAGGTGAGTTGGTGTTACCCACAGCAAGTTTATCTTGAGAAAAAAAGATGTGAAGGGGGAGAAGGATAACCTCACACAACAGGTGTTACATGTAAATGGATCAATTATGATAAATAACCTTTCAATGAAAACCCCAAAAGCACTTCAGAAACTATGCAAATCCCATACCCCTAAGGACAAAACCCCAGAGGTCTTCTTCCTGTGGGACTACATGGCTCCCATTTCAGCTTCTATTCAGCATAATATTTCTAACACAAAAAAATACCTTTCGATTTCCTGAACAATTATGCCCGTTACTGCTGATAATTTGCACTTTAAAAAAAGCATAAAAACTTAGGTAAGCTGAATTATATGTTTTTTCAAAATGTGAATTTTCACACAGTATTTTGTGTGCAGCATTTACAGTAAAGAAAGCACAGTCTTGAAAATCTGATGTATTTTTAAACTGCATTATTGGAAAAGCTCTGTATAGGTGCTACATATAATACTTCAACAATCCCTGAGGCTAATTCAGTTAATAATAATTTCAAATTAAACAGACTTACCCATATCCATTTTAGGACTTAAAATTTGACTGCAATTTTAATACACCCAGAATACCATCCAAGTTTATACTAAAACGTTAAAGTAATTTGATATGTATTCCCACAATATTTCAAGTTCGTGTGCATAAGGAAGGTTAAATCAAGACATCAGAAATACTATTCAAACACCTGAACATCACATAGAGCACATGTGATACAACAGACAGTTCAGAATTCTTTTTTATTGATGTTAGTTAAAAATGACTGAAGACAACACCAGAGAAAAAGAAACAGGCCATGATTCAATTAAAATTGACAAAATGCAAAACTCAAGAATATTTACAAACTAGAAACAAAAATGCATAATATTTCCAATTTTTGAAAGAGCCGACCCTTTAAATACAAAATGAGCGATTTGGTAATTGTGCATTCCCAGCAAACAAACATTTCCAGTATTTCAATGCTTTTCCCACATCAAGGTTAAGTTTATAAAAATCTGTAAAGAATCTCATTACTCGACAAAAGTAAATAAAAAGACTGAGCAAAAATACATTAAACAAAACAAGCAAAGCATTTGGTACCTCTTGTTAACAGTCCAAATGTATATTTTATGATACAAAATGCCATCACCAGTGGGACAAAGTCTAGGTAAATTGTATAAAAATACTCTAAAATACCTCAACAGTATCAAAAGTTCTACAAGCTCAAATAAAATTTGAAGTAAGGGGTATCAGACAAACAGGCACTTTCCAGTTTATATTTTAAAATGAGCTTTTTTTCATTCATGTAACTTTTTCTTGTGTCTATTTACTATAATTTACTACTACACCAGGCTTCTGTATGGCCCTCAGTTAAAGTTTAGACTTCTGAGATTCTTCAAAGAAAAATTTGCCTTGTATGTAAAATGGTGCAATGCAGCAATGGCTAAACCGACAAGGTCATTTTTCACAGCACAAAAAACCTAAAAACTGAAATTCAAAAGCTGGAAAAACATCCTACAGAGGCAAGGGCTGCCCTGAATAAAGGTACAGTACCTTTTGCCTAGGACATAGGCCCTTAAGTCACAACACAACTTTCAGAAATTGCTACCAAAAAAAATTAGGGTGTGGCATGCTAACAATCTCAAGGTCATTCCTTAAAAAGGAAGCAAAATCAGTAAAATGTTTTCTATTAAGCACTGACAGTAACCCAAGGCTGTCAAAGTAAACAGGGTATTCACAGGTTTTACAAAAAAAAAAAAAAAAGAAAGTTGATAGGTCATACCTCGATGCATTGCTGTGGACTGAACCCTCCTCTCCTTGGCTTTTGTCCTTATTTCTCATCATCTTTTTATTCTTAAAATATTAAGAGGGGGTCAGGGGTGTCTGTTTGCTTTGAAGTCCTGTGCCCAGGTATTTACTGTCAAAAGTTGAAAGAAAGGTAAGGTCCCAGTTCGTTTCACTGGCTTTCATTATCAGGAACAAAGTCCTGACGCTGCAATGATATTGTTATAACAATACACAACACTGATCAACACGGCAACACGGAGATTTAACACAAATAATCATTTTTACAAGAAAAATCCGAGAATAAACACAGTAGAGGAGCATCCTGCAAACTTTCCCAAAGTAACACTGGATGCAAATAATCTCTGTATCTTATTGCGTCATCCCAATACAGCAGAAATCGGTCGAAAATCAAAGTACACAAAACGGCAGATATCTAAAAATTATTATTATTAATTGCTCACCTACCTGATCCGTGCACCGCCGCCAGGACCAAGTCGATATTAGTTTCGGGTAGTGGAAAAACATTAGATCCAAAATACTTCAAATTATACGGATAAAATACAAATTTCAGAAAACGAAAAAAAAATATATATACTAATCCCAAAAATATGCTGCCGATAAAGCAAAAGAAGCGATAATTAGTACAAAAATGTCCGGGGGAAAAAGCTCATTAGGAGAGCGCACAAAAATGGAGGTACGCCATGGCTTCTAAGCTGGAAAAACAACGACCTGGGCTCTCTCCACGGCTTCTTCTTTCCAGCAAGGCACGAAAAGGGAGCCCTCAAAAGCTGCTTTTCTGCCCGAAAAAGGTCCACTCAGCCCCCGATTAGTGCCTAGGAGAGGCAAGGGGCTGTGGGGGCCCCCTGAGGCTGCCCGAAAGTTAGGGAAAGTTGCGTAAAGTGTTGGGGAAGGCACGGAGCTGAGCGCGCTCTCTCTAAGGCACAGCCGCCATCTAGAGCTCCTTCCCAGCTCTGAGCTCTGCCTTTGATTGACACTCTCTACATTTACCCCACAACTCAGGTGATGTACCATAGACCCACCCCTTCATTTCTACCAAAAAAAGAGAGAGCCTCCACCTAAAGGGTGCCTGCTACCCCACAGCCCTGACTCTTTCCAACTACCCCAGATCATGGGGCATCTTAACCCCATGTGGCTCAGGCACCCTTTGGAAACCAGAAAGAAATGGAATTTGTGCCTTTTGTTTAAAACATTTGCTAAATATTTCAGTGCCTGGGCTAAAATTACTTCCTCCCTGGACAGGAAGTGGTGCTATTACAAGCCATTTTGAAGGCATGGGAGTGGAGCTCACAGCCATGCAGGCACCAAACAGCCCACCCTGGGGGTCACCCCACCCAAGGGGGAGCATCCCCCCAGTTCAGTGGCACAATCCCCAGACAACAGCTCTTCCCTTCACCCTCCAACACTGGCACTGGCAGCGTGGAACAGGAGTATCACTCGCTCTCAATCCAGCCCAGCAGGGTCAATATTCCCCTCCAGCTCAACAGCGCCTCCCTAGTGGTTTTCCCCACTAACTCAAAGGCAACAGGCACACCACTTCCATCTGCTCCACTAAGGCACTGCGGTCAAGTCAGTCCAAGCCCATTAAACCAGTTACTTTTAGTGCACTCTCTTAACCCATTCATGGTCTGTAACAGATTTTAACATGACAAATTAATTTTAAAGCTGCACAATAGCCAAGCTGCAGAACTGGAAATCAATGGACATCTCCAACACAACCTCCTGGAATTGAGAGGATGTACCACTGAGGGAATGGAAGTGATCCAAGCAACCCCGACCACTTGATTCCAACCACCATTTGTCTTCCACGAGCAAAACCAACTCCTCGAAGCACAAGGACATCTTGAATATTCATAAGCATCGCAACAATACAGAGCCATCAGACACTGGGGGACCACTGGACGGGAAAGGGGTAATGGGCTAGTCTGGGGTTCTATGGGGACATCCATGGCACAGCATCCCAACAATCCAAAACCATTGGCTTCGACCAGTAGAACCAACATAGTCTCCTTCAACTCCTCCACACACACCTGCCATTTGCATCCTCCAACCACCCATCCTCTTTCCACAAGGGGTTTCATTAGGAACACTCCATTGCCACAGTCCATTTTAAAGAATTCCACAATTATTTACATAAGACCCCTTGCACCTCAACTGCAAGAACCAAAAAAACCACAATGCAAGACTATTCCAAGCAATTTTGGGTAACACTAAGGAAATCCACTCATCTGAATGGGGATCCCTTTAGGTTGGTCCCAGTATCCAATTCCACCACAAACCAAGACACAGCAAAACCAATCTGGAGCAAGTGTGTACCATCAAAACAGCTGGATGGGGCAGGTATGAACAACTCAGCATGACAAAAATGGGTATTTGCAAAGAAGTCTGAGCAAGGGAAATGGCTAACACACAGTGAAGGAGGGTTTGTTTGGGTTTTCAAAGAGAACACCAAGGTTATCTCAGAACCAGGTGTGTCATCTTGGCCCTCCAGCACAAAACAAAGACAACTGGGAGTTTCAGGTAAAATACATAAAGAAAAGTGCCTACAGTTCAACTATTTGATCCACTAGAAAGCTGGAAGGAAACAGGGTTTTTTTGAAATTCATTTGCAAAGGTTAACATGTCATCTGTAGCAATATCAAAAACAACCCCATTCTTTCTCCCCAAACACATGGTACAGTATTGCCCTGCTAAGGCTACATGCAAGAGCAGGGAAGCAGGTTGGACACTTGCACAGAACAATTTTAAGACCAAAGAGACTGTTTAGGAAGTATGTTGTCAAGGAAATATGTTGAGAAGTTTCTGTACCCACAACCAAAACATACACAACCAAAGAACATACCTAAAAAAGTTACACAAAACATTCAAGTACTCCTTTATTGTCATATTTTCCCAGCCTTCAATTTGTATCAATTCCATCTTAAAATAACTCACAAAGTTCAGCAGCAGGGCCCTGACAATAGGCCAAGTACTGAAAACCCCTCATATTAAGCACCTGAATGAACAAGCCAGCAAATAAAAATTCATTGGAAGTCATGGCAAAGTGAGCATAATTTGCAAATGAAAACCACATTTGAAATCAAGTACAGCACAAAATTTTGCCTTGCCTTCAGTACTTAGTAGTTTAAGTATTCTCACTTTAATAGCAACCAAAAATGTAACCCACTTCAATATCAACATAATAAAAATATTCAGCCAGAAAGGACAAACACAAAGTGTGAAAGAAACCAAAACCTTTTATTAAAAGTCAGTTTAAAAATTACATTTTCTCCAAAGGGGTAGCAACAGATCTTCAACCAAATTAATTTGCCTGTTATGCAAACACAATCTCAAAGGAAAATTCTGCCACCCAGTCCTCAAACAGATCCATCATTGGATAGTCACTGATTAATTCAAGTGCAAAGTCCATTTTGATAGGATGATCACAACCCAGATCTTCTCTGGTTTAACAACACGAGAGTCCACGATTTAACATCCTTTTCTTGGACAGACACATCACAGCACTCATGCATTAGTCCATTTCCTCAACCTCTCAATCACCAGTGGAACTGCCATCTTGGTGCCTCATTCGTAGACTCCTTTTGACACTCTTCATCTGATTGGATTCTTTATGGAAAATTAAAAGAAAAATGCTGTTGGAATACACATCATAGCTTTAAACTAAGACATTCAACTACTGTACCTTCAAGATAGTTCAAACATATAGCTGATGCTTCATTCCATATTACACATTCCGTAATATCTGCTTTTACCAGGAACAATGTCAAACCATCAGTTAAAGAGTCAAAAATATAAAATTTAACCAAAACTATAAAAAAGGGAGAAACAATTAGAAGTTCAAGAAGCTTTGCATGCTCCATAAATTCCATTTGAAATTTCTTCAGTGTTAAACCACTAGAGACACCAATGGTGGGAAATCCAAGATATTTGCTCTTGCAACCATCTTCATTGCACTGACCCATCTCCTGAAGTTGACATTGCTTAGTAAAATACCAAGGCTCTTATAAGCCAAAATTTGTAACTACTGTCCACACTCCTTTCTTCAAAGACACAGATCCATCAAAACCGATGTAACAGGCATAAAAACGGGTTTCTTATAGACAGATGGTGACTGGAGAGAAGACATTCCACCATCTTAACCCAGTTTTTCAGCTTAGGAAAGACGTACAGTGCAACAGCAAATGCACTTACAAACAAATGGAATGACTGGTTTAGTTACTGGTGGGAAAGGACATATCAGAAATCAGATGAAAATGGTAACAAGTTACACCAGCTGCCTTTAGCAAGGCTCCTCATCCATATTCCAACTTTACTTGTCACAGAACAGCAACCAAGCCCACAGATGAATGAGAAACCAAACCCAGCAAATGACATCCACAGGGGCAAATACAAACCCAATATCCCCATCTTTCCATCTTCCAAGAAATACAAGTTCAATTTACTTTAAGAAAAACCCTACTCCTCCTCACATGCAAAACTCAAGAACGGGAAGTTACTAATTGTTAAGAACATCATTTTGAAACCAATGTCAACTGTAGAACTGACATGCAAAAATGGTTTCAAAATGTCTTCACGATTTTGAGTGTCTGCACTCCAACATCAATTTATTCTTTTGAATATGTGTAAGTTTAACCTCATTTTACTCTGAAAGCCAAATTCACTACTGCCCTGTTCCCTGATAACCATGGGCTGATTCTGACAAGTGATGCAGAAATTACCCACTGCCCAGCAAAAACCAGTGGGGCCATCTAGTGGTCTCTGCCTTGGCATCCCAGTTTCCCCAGTCTCATCTCAAAATTACCAGTTACAATGAAGCAAAGAGCACTGCAACCAGTGCAGCAAGCCCCAGTCTGACTTTCACGTGTGTCCTGTTTTCTGTTGCTCTATAGACTTCCTTGTTTAAAATACAATGGAAAACTACAGCACACAGAAGTGGAATATGGGATCTGGTAATTCCCTTTGCACTGTGAAACATGCGTAGCTCTAAGAGTATTCAGCCCCAGGATCTTCACGTTCTCAAACTGAACATTCAAATTTACAGAAGTGCTTTGTTTCAAGCATTCAACTCATCCTGAGTCAAGACAGGTATTAAATATTTTGGAAGATTTTTTTCCCCACAATAAACTGAATGAACAGTTTTTGGGGTTGCTTTGGTTTTAGGCTTGTTTTTTTCTTTCCCCCACTGTTCTCATTAACCTAATTTCAAATCTATTTCGGTGTTTGAAGATGAATTAAAATTTTGCATGATTTTTAATGTTAATGCCTTGACCAAGGTATCAGAGCATGGAAAAAAAAAACCACCACAAAGCTGTCCATTATTGTCACAATCAAACACTCAAAAGTACTAACATGAGTGCAGTGAAAACCCCATAAATAGGACCATTAAAATAATTTTAATATTTATATATTATTATATTTTTAATAAGTGTAACATAAGGAAATTTAATTACTGACATTAGCTTTCCCCACCTCTCAAAAAGGTAATTTAGTTACATATTAGTCACCCTTGAAAGGCTCTTTCCAGTTGGGTTGGCCTCTTCCTTAGACACTCATGAGATCTGCCAAAACCAATTTAAGGGCAAACTTCCCTACCAGGTTCAACTACATTGGTTGTTACGAAAAACTCTGCAAGTAACCCCACAACTTTCATCTTAAACTCTTCTCTCAACCTTGTAAAGCAATTAGCAGTAAACAGATCTGATAATGTATTATAATTACGAACACGTTCTTGTTCTCAAAGTTATTCATACATCAAAAAGATGCCACAGGAATGGCCAAAGTATTAATAGCAACCTCTACGCTTTTGAAATCTACATTTCGCTTAAAAGATTTCACAGTGGTTGTTTACTTATGAATTAAGGCACATTTTACTAACAAGTTTCAATGATGTTATAAAAACATCTTCCTCCACTAAGACACAGGCAGTGATCCTAACCTGAGGTAGACACTGAAAAGCCCAATGTTTTTCTTAGATGTCACGAGTCTTTCATTCCTTCTGTAACATCAATTAGGCGTCAGCCCATTTTTCAAGCTGCTGTTATCTACCAGTTCCTGATTTGGTTTCCAAGCACAGTATTTTGGTCATGATAAAATCAGGGACCTGGGCAGTCATGTTACAATGACAAGGAGTACTGACACTCCCTGCCAAGGGAGAGAAATAATTCCCAACCTTGACTATAGGTTCAAGGCAACAATTGTGAAACAAAATTTACAAAGTTTTTTGTTGCAATTCTCTGTTGCTCTATTAAAAGACTACAGCAAGGAAAGACAATGCCTGATGGCCAAACCCATGGCTTCAGCCACTTCAGGTCTATTGAAACCTTCTGTTCCTCAGGTGTGAGACTGAAATCCAACACATACAACACCCATGCATAAGACACCAACACATAGACCAAGTTTTCCAGAGTGAAATCTGAGGCTTCCACTTAAAAACTGAGGTGACCTCCCCTGGAAACAGAATTCACTCCAACAGAAGGAGCTGAATGGACAGAATGAGGCTGTGAACAAACCAAACCTCAAGGTCTACGTTTCAAAGTTCATTAAAGCAAGGTTTTATTCTCAAAGACACATCCCTGGTAACTTTTACACTGGAGGAAAGAGCAGACGTGTCCTTTATGGACAGCAAAGTCCATAATGAGTTACTGTCAGAGACTGCACAGAACATAAGTGCTCTGGACAGCCCTAATTCTGCTTTTACCACCATTAGATGTGCTGTAAGCACAGCAGTAAAAGCACAAGTCATGTAGGTTTGGGTATTTTTAGCTAAGGCTGTTTGCCAGGTTTCTCAGATTTAGAGAGGAATTCCCGGTAAGATGTGACTTTATTCACAGATGCACTCTTTTTTGGGTGTTATTTTGAAATAATAAACTTTACTGCATTAAGCAAAGTATGTCAACTTCAGTAAAGCTCCTGGTGTTTTCAAGTATTTTCCCTCTTCTCTTAAAAAAACTGAAAATAAAAATCAGTGCTTCAACTAAACATTATCTGTGCTAACCAGAGAGGGCAATACTAGATCTTTTAAGATCCACACATTTGGATGCTTTTGCAATTGGTGTTTGAAGCAACTTCTTTTGTAGACAACTGTTTCCTGAAGGAAATCAAGGCTTCACATTCACCCCCTTCCTTTAGGTAAGGATTATAAACCAGAAAAGGATGGAAGAATTACTCGGTGTGTAACTGAAAGGCCAAAGTCCTACTCAAGAAACCAGATGTGACAACAGCTAATTTACAACCCAATGAGAAAACAAACAAAAATGCACATAGAAAGATTTAGGAGTCATATGAAGATTAATATAAAAATGGAACATGAGTCACATGTTTTAGAGATTCTAGCAGATGACTGGGGGCTAGAAAGGCGTCAGTGGATAGCATAGGAAGAGTTTTGAGGAAGAGCTGGAAGGAGACACATGGCAAGAAATATGCTGTTCTACACATACCTGCAGTGGGAAAAACAGTTTAAGACTTCTGAAGGAACAAAGCAATAAAACTTACAGAGCCCAGTAGTAGAAGAGATTAAATACTTGCCAAAAAGCATCAAAACTAAGCTCAGGTACATGCATTAAAAACTGAATTCCTCCAATTCATGAATTCCACTTTTTTGCTTCAGGACTGAACTCAGTGATAAAACTGGTCCAAAATGCAATAGACCCAGAAGCAGCACAAGGCCACACTAACATGGCCTAGCAAGGTTTGCACCTTACCCCTACATACTCCTTTTCCCTTCTGCTAGAGCTCTACATCAGTCTCCACATCATGGGAGTGGATGAGAAGAAAGCACGGGACTTTGGAGCAGCTGCTGTTCAGCACCTGAGGCCACGTAGATGGCAGTGGCTGCTGGAAGGCACAGCCATGGGACAGCTAAAAATCACTGTCATCTATCCACTAAAATAAAAGGATTTGCATCCCGGAACGTTTTCCCAAGCTGCGTGCAGCCTAAGGAAGGCCTTGCTCCATCAGGTATCGTCTCAGACTGAAAGAACTGGCTCTAAGAAACTGCTTCTTTTAAAGAAATGTATATATTTCCAAAGCACAGTGCTATAGGAATATAGCTTCCCACAAAAAAAGTTAATCCATGTACACAAAATGCAATGGATGCCCTAATTAAAAATGCAGAATCGAGGCGTTTTTGAATTTTAAGCAGCCAGAAAGACAAAAGGACCTGTTTCCACAGGCAACTCCCAAGAAAGTCACAAAATGTGCCAAGGACAACAAAAGGTCAAAACCAAATTCCTTTTAGTTAAGGAAACTGGAAAAGATTCTGTTCCCATATTCATCCAGTATAGAACTGAATTAATTTTTCTACTCAAGCCTGCCAATTTTGTGTTTTGACTATATGAGGAATGATTTGAAATCTATCAGCTAGCAGTTTAATTTAAAAAAAAAACAAAACCAAACAAACAGAAAACTGTGCTGGCATTACATATAATTTTGTGCAAAGCCAGACCTTTGTGAATGAAAAACAGCAAGAGAACAACTGTAGAACAGGAGACAGTTACTATCTGCTCAAAGACTCTCACTGATCCTGACAAAAGCATAAGGACAAAACAAGATGCATGTGAGGCAAGTTCTTCCTGCTGTACTTTCCACACCATTTGTTACCCAAATCGTGCAGTGCCTCTCTAGAGACTCATCTGTGCACCAACCCTTCTGAACCAGCAAACCTACAGTAGAAAAGCTCTCAACGAAACATGGAGTCAAATCACAGGAGACCAAAGAACTCCAGCCAGATGTGAAGGCTGTTCTGCAGTGAGACAGGGGGAGAGCACGATCCAAGTATTGCCCATTTCCCAGAGCCCAGCAGGAATGATCCCAGGATCTTTCTGAAACACACGTGTGCACACGGTCATGCACAAATGACCTTCAGAATGTATTCAACCAAAAGCTTCAGCCAGTTAAACATTATAGCCTTGTCTGGTTGATTGGTTTTTTTTTAAAAAGCTAAAAAGTAAATGTTTTTAGGAATAACAACTTACCAGTACTTCAACCAAGAGCAGCTATTTTGCTTACAGTGAGCAAATCAACTCCTCCACACATCTGTAGGGAAAATGGGATATTAAAACACTTGAATTAAAATTAAAAATAATAAAAAAAATCCTAAGGACCAAGCATTAAAACCTATGAGTATTAAACAAGTCCTATCCCCGAATGAAACAAACCCCCAAGCATTACAGATCACAGCATATGCTACAAAAGACATTTTATAAAAACTTTGAAGTATCACTAGGGAATGTGTTATCAAAGAACCTGTGCAAAACACCCAAGAAATTCAGGTCCAGTCCTGTACACAAATCCCTTGAGGAATTACCACAAAAAAACCCTTTTTTATTCAGGCAGGCATCCAGTGGAAATGAACTTTACCAAACTGACTTGCCCTTCTACTAAGAGGTAGTATCAGCTGGATGAAGGGCAAACAATGTAACACATTTATATGGAACCACTTAACTACTCTGTATCTCAAAATTATCCCTGTACGGGCAAGGTCCTAACGTGAAACCCTGACTTTGAAAATGCTTACTGGCAATCTACATCAACAAAACTTTAATCACAGACACCTTAAACAAAGGTTGGAAGATTAAACTAAGACCTAAAACTCTGAAACAACTCATGAACTTCCTTTTTACTGTAAATTTGGACCGTGTGAAATTAGCCATAAAAGTTATCCTCCTGACATGTATGAGCAAACTGGTTCTCTTCTGATCTCTCAGAATCTACTTTATATTAAAACATAGCCTCAAATACACAAAAATTAATGACCCTATCCAGTGACAGCACACTGTGCAATCCTTTAAATTCTTCTCTTCCATTGGTATCTACTCAGATGCACAGAAAGAAAGCTGTGATGAACAGAACTGTCATTTCTTTGTTGATGTAATTTATTTGAAATTATTATGGAAAAAGATCCCTTTAAAAAGGGGAGTGACAAAAAATTATATTAGTAAACTGGCATAAACATGTAGAACATACAATGGAATGTTACATTTAAAGGTTTAAAACATGTGTTTAAATGTGCTCCAGCAGCTGCTATTAAATGGAAGCACAGAACTTCTGCAAAGTGCCCATCCACCATTTTAGAAGAAACACAACATGGCTGCTGAACTCTGATCATCCAAGAGGCCTCCACCAGTCATTCAAAGCAAGAAAAATGAACCAGGCAAATACATTCATTTAGGCCCTTTAAATCTCCTTCTGCCCTATATGTAACATTTCTGTCAAAAAAAGCCACTTAAAAGCTACAATCTGATGTATGAAGACAGGTACAGTTAAAGATTGCAAGATTTTCAATTTACAGCTCTCAACTGTCTTTAATAACTCACAGCACAGCTACACATTCATCACCTGCATTCAAGTTGGTTCCTCTTTAGAGTGAGCACACAGCTACGGTAGTTTCACAGAAACTTTAATGAGGATATTTAATATGACCTTCTGTCACCACAGAGCAGCTTCTTCTAATGACAAAGACTCGACCGAGTTGTGTTCTGA